CTCTCTCTCTCTCTCTCTCTCTCTCTCTCTCTCTCTCTCTCTCTCTCAATGTCACAGGAGATTGTCTTTATTTTTTTTATTCTTTATTGATTATTTTATTTATTTTTCATTTCAAATGTTATCCCCTTCTCAGTTTCCCCTCCAAAAACCTCCTATCTCACCCCCCTCCCCCTTGATTCTATGAGGGTGCTCCCCCACTCACCCTGCCTTACCGCCCTGGCATTCCCCTATGCTGGGGTATCAAGCCTTCACAGGACCAAGGGCCTCCCCTCCCATTGATGCCACATAAGGCCATCCTCCGCTACATATGCAGCTGGAGTCATGGGTCCCTCCATGTGTATTCTTTGGTTGGTGGTTTAGTCCCTAGATGCAGATGCTTGCAGCCAATCATTGGACTGAGTACAGAGACCCCAGTAGAGGAGTTAGGAGAAGGACTGAAGGAGCTGAAAGGGTTTGCAGCCCCATAGGAAGAACAACAATATCAACCAATCAGACCCCCCCTCCCAGAGCTCTCAGGGACAAACGTACATCTTAAAGAAGTAACTAATAGATGACCTCATTGATATAAGGTTGAAAATGGGTTCTGGGACTTTTCCTTTAGAAGCATCTTAGGAAATGTCCCTCATGGAGTAAAGAGAAAAGTACTGGTGACAAGGTATTTAAAGTATTTCCTAAAGGAAGGAAAGTAAGAAGCACGCTATACAGAAACACTGTCTGGCAGAAGCCATCATTTTAATAGGACAGATGGCACAACAGCAGCAAATTTGTTTGCTGTGTGTTCACCAGCCCTGTAGCACCACTCTGGGGACAAAGGAGTCAAGGGGACACAGGGTGCAGTGTCCATTGAGAGTCTCAGAATTCCCCGAGGAACCAGAAGGAGTCCCCTGGATACTCACAGCTACTTCACAAAGAGAACAGGCATCTCCTTTCTTTCTAAACAGCACAGAAATTGAGTACCACAGAAAATGTGAAAAATTTCTTCTTCTTTACACTCATCCCTGCAAAAGCCCTTTAGTCTCCAGCACGTATCGTAAATCCGTCTTATGTACAGATTCACTCCACTTCTAACTGCAAACAGAGGGAAAAAGGTTAATATACAGTTATTGTTCTTCAGGGTCACATAGTCAAGAATAAGTTAGACTCCCGGCACATCATACATTTTAATAAGAAACTCTACATAAACAAATATATCCGTCCTATTTTATGGCTACATACTCCTTCTAGTTGCTTTGGCCTCATTTTCCAGGGATTATATTAGGAGCCATTAGCTCCCATGATCCAGACTTACATGCTCCACCAATCATTTACATGCATGTGACGACATAGTATATTCAGCTTGCAGCCGTTTTCAACATGGAAAGGTCAGACAGTGAATAAGTTCCAGTGGTCTACAGACTCTACACCAGGAAGCACGAGCATCTCCCAAAGTAGCTTTTGATTGTCAAAACTTGAGTCCGAAGAAAGGAAGATCAATAGCCTAGAATTCAGAAGCCCTTGGTTCCAGCCCTATATTTCCAATAACTTTCAGGATGACTTTTTGTTATATGCCCCATTACCTGTCCTAGCTTAATTTCAAAGGACTCAGAGGTGTCCTGTGGGATAATGGATAAGAAACAATTGGAAGTACCTAAAACCCACACCCAAAACTAGCAACATCGACACCTAAGTGCCTCTGGAAGCCAAGAAATAATAGGCAGGTGGTACCGGGGACAGTTTATGGGAAAGGGTATAGCCCTGGGTCATGTTACTCTCCTGTGGTAAGCCTTGGTGTCTCACCTAGCTGTCAGCATAGAAGCATGGATTGAACTTTGATTTACAGAAAGAATCAATGTATGCAAATAATCAATATTGTATGATCAAATTCTACTAGCAAGCAAACTTACCTGTTGTGTGCTCACTAGCCCTGTAGCCTTTGTCCTCTCTGGGGACAAAAAAATCAAGAGGAGACACTGTGCAGTATCCAGAGATCCTACCACACACAAGAGCAGCAACTGTCTCAATGTGTTCCCCGGTGTCTGTCTTTTAAATGTTTCACACTTGGTCCTTAAGTGGCAGCTTGTGAATTAGGTTTGAGATAGGAAGAAGGCACTTTCTGAACATCTGCAGAAACCTACAAGCCAAACTGTTTTCTTTTCTTTTTTTTTTAAGCCTCCATTTCAGTTGTTAAGTGGAGTCCTCTCCATACTCATACATTGTTTGCTTCTATCCAGAGCACAGAAAGTCTGGCTATTCATTCTGATGCCCCCACAGGATCTCACTGTTACACAGTCATTTAAAACATTATTTAAACACAGTCATTTAGCTGACAGCTAGCTCAGGTTTTAGATCTTCTCACTCTAACATTTGCCTTGATTTCTAAATAAATGAAGAAGGTGTGTGGACAGCTGGGTGTGAGGGACAAGCTCAGCAAACACCGTTCCTTCCATCCCACCCCCATCTATGCTCTAAGTGTCCCATCATTCCACTCTGCCCAGTCTCTGCCAACATCAGTCCAGCCTTATCCACAGGCTTCACGGATGCTCAAGAGTCAAATTCAGAACCAGTTTCTTCTCAGAAGAAAGCCACCTCTTGTTAGTGTCCCCAGCATCTTCTCTTCGTCCCCTACAACAGCCCACACTGTCCATCTCTGCCCATGTCCCTCCCTGTGTCTGCTCCTCTTCTCTCAGCACCACCTTTGTCTGCGTCTTACAGAACCTCATAACCTAATTCCGTAAGGAAAGGCATTCATTTTACCTGGTGGAACATAGGAGAGCAAGATGAAGAACACAAGGATCAACTGTAGGTTCCCCATAGTCAAACCAGTGAGCCAAGAGTCATCTGATATGCAAAGAAGAGTCACTCTCTGTGTAGCGTTTTAGATATAAGGACTTACGTGGGTGGTGAACCTTTGGGGACAAGAACATCTGCTTGCTCCACTGAGCAGCCCAACAAATGCAAGATCTGACTTTGAAAGCATCTCATCCCTAACACCTGCTTGCTGCCAGCTGCTTGTGAACTAGCAACCCAATTTACACCATGCATAGTCTCGTTCTAAGCCCTACTGGAATTCAGTATAAATGCTGTATCTTCAGAGTGCACCCATTTAACAGATGCCTAGTGTGTTTAAAAGCTGTATGTCTAGCACACATCATTGGTAGTGTTGGTGGTGGTTATTTTCAGTCTTATGCATTCAAAACTCAGATGGGAATTCTCCCCATTTGAAAAACAAGTCCTGTGCATTGTAACTGGAGTGAATAGCGTTCCCAAGTTCCTGCAAATCATCAATGCCAACAGTACAATGTGCACACAGGTCTTCCTGACTCCTGACATGTGAAAGTTGAAGACTGGCCTAACATGATTCTGAATTGGCTGAAAGCTTTTTAGGAAATGAGAGCTCCCCACAGAGTGCAGGATAACCCCCATAATACCACCAGCACCCGACACGATTCCAGAGAACACGCTGAGCCATGGTCTTCTACTAACCATGGTGTGTGTGCTCAGGCATGTGCTGGGTGGGCAATTCGGGGAGGGTATGCACAGGAAGCTTGGTAACCTCCTTCCCATTGATGCACTCACCTCTTTATAGTCACATTCCCGCCACTAGCATCATTTAAACCATCCATCAAAAGTACTAACGATCCTGACACAATTCTACTTCATGTTTGAGAAATAAGAATCAGCATCCCTATTTACTTAGCAGCTTACTTAATTTTTTATCAGAGGAACATAGATCAATGTGATAGTAGCTGCCTACTGTGACATGTGGTAACACATAGTAGGACCATACAATTATGGCTGTGAGTGTATGGAGTTAAACACTGGATTAGATCTTGTCAAACTCCTGAAATTTGAAATTTGCACTTAGATTCCTTCTTCCTTCCTTCCTTCCTTCCTTCCTTCCTTCCTTCCTTTCTTTTTAAAATTGTTTTGTTTTTTCAAGATGGTCTTTCTCCATGTAGCCCTAGCTGTCCTGGAACTCTCAAGGTAGACCAGGATTGGAATTAAAGGCTTATGCTATTACTTCAAGCTTTGGGCTTAGATTCTTGATCTTTAAAATCAGTGGTTGAATTTGTCTTTTCTTAAGTAATCCTGAGTTCTGGTGGAAGGCTGTGAGCTGGCCAGTGTCAAACCAGTCCCTACAACCCACCCTTCAGGTCCTCTGTATACACAAGGATCCAAAATGACCCTCATGGGTTCATTTCTGTTTTTACAGACCTGGGCTCTAGATACAACCCTACAGATCTAGGCACCAAAGCTGCATACCTGCTGACCCAAACAGCAGACATGACTGTGTGGGAGACCCAGGGGCAGGGACACCTACATGCCATGTCAGACAGTTTGTGTGGTGAAGCCCTCTCAGACAAAACTAGTGTTCAAAGATAAGAATAAGATCTGCTTCACATCTGCAGATGCCAACATAGTGCAACCCAACAAACATGATAAACCAAGGAGCCAAAATACCACACAAACTCAAGCGCAAGCAGATGATTAAGCTTCTGGGACAAACGGAAAACATAAGAAGAAAGTAATCAAGGCATACCACCACCACAAATAAGTAAACAGATAAATGACAGACAGACAGACAGACAGACAGACCACAAAGGAAGACTTTAAAGATTCAGGAAATAATTACCAAAATGTAGTGGTTTTCTGCAAAGTTTGATAAGGTTCTTGTGTCAGATTTCTTTTCTTCTTTTCTTTTCCTAATATCCATTTAGCTCCACTAGCTTACTGCTGGATATAATTTGCTTAGGGTGATTGCTCAGATCTCATATGGAGCAAATCATGGAAAGGCTCTGAACAAGAGTGCTACAAATCAGAGAAGTATTATCTCTGTCTCTTGAATGAAGGAGACCTAGAAGGAAGTTGAAACTCCTGCCGTGTTAACTGAGAAACCATCCTAGACCGAACGAGCTGCATTCCACTGCATTTTGTGGTCAACAAACTCCTGGACCTGGAGAGGAGCGCTCCTGTCTCTAAGACGATACGTGATGTGGAGATGTCCTCTGGCCACCAGATATACCTCAGAATGTACTGGAACACTACAAAGATCAGGTAAGAGAGTCAGACTTCAGGACTCTGTCAGTTTGGGGAACCATGACCAGAATAGAGGGTTGGGAAGCAACAGAGAGGAAGCAGCAGCATACAAGTGATCTGATGAGGAGCATTGGAAAGGGGGCTTGTTACGGAGGAGCGGGAGGTAAATAAAGACTATGTTGGGGTTTTTTATTTGTTTGTTTGGTTGGTTGGTTCATTCGTTGGTTGGTTGGTTGGTTTTTTGTTTGTTTGTTTGTTTGTTTTTTGAGATACAGTTTCACTGTGTAGCCCTGACTGACCAGAACTCACTCTCTAGACCAAGCTGGCTTCAAACTCAAAGATCCCACAGATTCTGCCTCCCAAGTGCTGGGATTAAAAGCATGTGCTGCCACCACTCAGCTGGAGTTTTTGTTTGTTTTTTTGTTTGTTTCTTTTGTTTTGTTTTTTAAGCATCCTTTCTCCATGTCTTTGCCAGTAAAGTCATGAGCATAAAAATATCCCATGTTTCTATCTCCCAAGACCTATTACCTACCCCCCCTCCTGCAACCAGATAACAGAAAAATTTTTAAATCCTTTAATGCCTATTTCTCATCAGAAGTTTGTGTTGTGCTTTTATAAACCAATCCTGTAGATCTGGATTATATTAATCTACTCCTGGATGTGCTTTAGGGAAGAGACAGAGTGTGGATTAGGGCAAATAATGTAACACATCCTCTGGAACCCAATCACTCTCTCCAAATATTGGCATTACCAGTGATCCCTTCACACCTTAAGTCAAATGTTACTGTTCTTAATAACAGTTCCATAGGGAACATGACCTGCTGGAGCCCTGCTTCCATGTAAGGCAAGCCAACAGTGGTGTTGTCCTAAGAGCTGATGAAATGGCTGGGGAAGAAAGCAAAAGACTCTAGCTTCATTAACTGCAGCCTTCTCCCTAAACCCACCCAACACGGAAGTGCTCAGGAGACATGCGCAGACAGGAAACCAACCTCACCACTTCCCCCATCATATATGCCGTCTTCATCGATGGAAATTTCACAGTAGCCTTCTATACTTGGCTGTTACAAGGTCACAAACCTCACCTGTACCAGTATCTCATACCAGTATCTGAGACAAATAAATGCATGTTCAAACTTCGTACTCTTCTGCTCTGTTCAGCTGCATCTAATGCACGTTCTTGGGATCAACCCTCCCTGGACTTTCTAGAATATTCCCTTCTACTTACTCATAAAGATTTTACTCCAGGCATAATCACTTTTAGAAATTCTTCACTACTTCTTCCTAAGCACAATATATTGCCCTACAATATTCCATATATAATTTCTCCTAGGTCTTATCTAACTATATTACATTTATAGCCTTGGGAACAGCAAGTGGAAAAAGGTGCTTGCTACCAAGCCTGGTAACCTGAGTTTAATCCCAATAACCCACATTGCTGGAAGGAGAGAATCAACTTTTGAAAATTGTTCAATGACCTCCATGTGACACTGTGGCATATTTGTGTGAGCTACTGTACCCGGGCATGTGTGTATGCATTTGTGCATGTACACATGCATGCACAAATGAATCAAATGAAATTATGGCTTTGTAAGTCTCTTCCTTTCATGTTACTGTATGGGAATTTTCTTAGAAATACAGGCAACTAACTGTAAAATGGCCCAAATTCTGACCCTACTAAACTGAATCAAACCTCCTCTCACTCTCTGGAGCATTCTCTCCCATATGCTTTACTGGTTTTTCCTCCTCACACATCCATAACAACTTCAGCCTTTCAAGTGTTCCCACATTAGCTCTGTGCCTCATTTATTCACATCCAGCACTGTGGAAATGCTTGTCTCTGAAGCCCCTCATCGTTCTCAGAAATCTAAGGAATAAACATAGCCTTGTCTATTACATTCATGCTAAGAACTCCGAGAACAAGCTCCCAGGTGTTTCAATGTCTGTGGGAAGAATCATGGACCGTGGACAGTTGACAGAGGCCAAGAAGAGCAACAACCAGCCCTGGGGACTTCTGGGCAGCTATTTCAGGGTGTGAGGGCATGAAGCCTTAAAAGCAAGTGCCAGGGGCTTTCTTATCAAAGGCAATAATAGTTTCAACTGGTTACACAATCCCTTTGGGCAGATATGTCTCCCAATCACTTGAGACACCAGATCTTACAACCTTTATGAACTTGTCCAGGTACAGAAAGTGATCTATCTATCTATCTATCTATCTATCTATCTATCTATCTGCCTTGTGTCTGAATAATGTTCTATGTAGCCAACTTGATCCTTTAGGTCTGAAGTCACCTCTCATTGATCATAGATTCTCAAGCATCCTGAAACTATGCTCTTCACTGTAACACCAAGTCTAATTTTAAATATATCTCTACTTGTTCTGTGAGGATTTCATACCTGTTTAGTTCATTTAGAGCTGTTGGCATGTGCATGGATAAAGGACCATCCACCAGAACATGGGCAACCTACCAAGGTCATCTCCCAGAAGAAAACTGACTCCTCCCTCCCCCAGCAGTAATCACTAATAGTTCTGCTAACAGGGTGGAGCTTTGTGAGCCCCTCTACCCTCCATGCTAGACTTCTCACTGGCTTAACCTTGTGCAGATCTTGTGCCTGCGATGTTAGCTGCTCTGCAATTCCAAGGCTTATCCTAATATACAGATCTACAGGAGCATAGCTAGAGAGTGGAGTGTTCTGGATAAGGCCTCAAGACATTTGTTCAGTTACATCAAGGCCAGAGGAAAGGCTATGCTAAGTCCCTCAGTTTCTATGAGTTAAAGAATCACATTTTGATGAAGCAAGAAACAATAGTGGAAGTCATTTCTCCTCTTATTCGCAGACATACTTCATGAGGTTCTCTGTGGGACTGAATGGAGCCGATATAGCAGCCTTCCACTACTCAGCTCAGTGAGGAAGGTGCCTCTACCTCTCTTCTGATAGTTTAGGGTCTGGAATCTCCATCAGATGTGAGAAAGTAGCAACTTAGATGACAAATCTACCTGCTGACATGTGTGTGCCTCCTACTAACAGGGATGGGTACAAATCAAACAGAGACATGGGAGTACCTATCAGAGTCTCTCACATCCCCCAAGATTCTCAAAGGATTGTCAACAAAGATCCTCTAGAGAAGTGGTTCTCCACCTTCCTAATACTGTGACCCTCAACATAGTTTCTCATGTTGTCCCAGTGACTTTCAACCATGAAAGTATCTTTGTTGCTACTTTATAACTGTAGTTTTGTTGCTGTTATGAATCGTAATGTAAATATCTGTGTTTTCCAATAGTCTTAGGTGGCCCACTGGGTTGAGAAACACTGCCCTAGGAGGTGGTTAGGCTGGGCAGTTCATAGTATTTTTATTAATTGATAAATCCATAAAAAATTCCACATATGGTAGTGAATACCTGTAATTCTGGAGTTAAAAAGGCTAAGACAAAAGAATTGGAAGTTCAAGGCCAGTCTAGGCTACATCACAAAACCTGGTCCCCCCAAAATAAACTAAAATCTAACATATTAAAAGAAAACACACAGACACTGTGCAAGGTTTAAGTCAGATTAATTATTCACATTAACAAACATTTATCATCTCATTTCAGTTAAAACCTTGTCTCATTTTGTTTGAACTCACTGAGGCTGGCCTTGAACTCCTGATTGTCCTTCCGCCACTGCCAGAATGCTGGGCTTGTAGGCATGAGCCATCGTACCCAGCTGGTGACAATTTTAAAACTCTTTCTCCTAGCTGTTTTAAATGTACAGACCATTATTGTTATCTATGGCTAACCTAGGGTGCAATAGCACACCAAAACTTCCTGCCTTCATCTAGCTGTAACATATACACAGTGAGGGAACTGTCACACAGCCTCTCTGCCTTCCCTCCCTCCTCAAATAACCACGGTTCTGCTCTCAACTTGTGTGCGGTTGATGTTTTAGACTCAGGCATTGTGTAAGATAGTGTGGCACTCCTCTTTCTTATCCTACTTCACAGGATCCCAGTTCCGTTCCTGTCAGATGAATAATATTGAATACAGGCACCCTTCTTTTTTCCTTGCCCAGTCATCAGCTGACAGACATATAGTTTATTTCAATATACTGGTTTTGTGAAGAGTTTTCATAATTGATATGGAAGTCCCTGGTGGGTTTCTTTTGACATGCTAATTGCATTTCTTTTAAACAAATTTCCACCAATATCATTTCTGATTTTTGAGGTAGTTCTCTTTTAATTTCTGGGAGATCCTTGGGGTGCTTTGAATATGCTTGGCCTGTAGAATGTGATACTGTTAGAAGGTATGGCCTTGTTGGAGGAAGTGTGTCACTGTTGGGGTGAGCTTTGGAAGTCTCCTTCTATACTCAGCTCCTACCCATTGTGGAAGAGTGCTTCCTCATACCTGCCTGAGGAGGCCAAGCTTTCCCTTGGATCAAGATGGAGAACTCTCAGCTCCTTCTCTAGCACCATGTCTGCCTGCACACTGCCATGTTTCCTGCCATGAGGAGAATGGACCGAATCTCTGAAAATCTCAGCTCCAATTAAATGTTGTTTTTTTATAAGAGTTGCCTTGGTCATGGTGTCTGTTGACAGCAGTGAAGCCTATCAAGACAACCCTCCATGCTGTTGCCCATAATGATCCTACTTATTCACATCTCAACCAACCGTCCACAAATATTCCCTTTGTCCACACCCTCCCCAACACTTTTTATCTTCAGTCTTTCTATTGCAGCCATTCTTACTGGAACCAAATATTTAATCCCAGTTTTATTTCTATCTCTCGGTAGTTAGTGATGCTGAGCAATATTTTTATAAAGGGTATCTTTTCTTCCTATTATACTGATAGCCGTCATTCTTGGGAAAGTGGGCCAGCATGAGAATATCCATTCAAAACAAAGGCATGATTTTAGGTTTGTTAGACAAACACATCAAAATATCACAGATAGCAAAACTCTCCAGCAGAGCTTGACTTCTCCGTGCAAGCCCTTTCCACCCCTCTGAGCCTTCATTTCCCATCTCTACAGGACGGCTAAGCCTCTTTCCCGTACTTGTGATAGCAGATGTTTGAGATGCGACTGAAGCTCATGAGACTCTACATCCAACGCAGGATGCCCAGGAGCATCTCATTCACAAAGACTCCTTCCTTGAGAGAGACATCTCACCACTGGCCACCAACACACTTCAATGTGGGACCCAGTATCACCGTCTCACTCTGAGTTTAATCCAGAGTAGTGCTCTTGGTTCTAGAAGCATCAGTGAAGACCAGAGTAAAGCGCTCTCAGCAGGACTTTGCCTTTGTCAGGAAGACTTTGGAGGTCTCTGAAGGAGAAAGGAAGATGGATGCTATAATGGAATTTAGTGATAGTACTGGATACTTATAGTATACCAGCATGAGTGCCAGCAAGATGGCTGAGCTGGTACAGTACAAGCTGTGCAAGCCTCACAGCTGAGATTCAGTCTCCGGCACTCACAGAAAGGTGGAAGGGGACGGCTTCACAGTATTGTCTTTTAACCTCCTCCACATGTATGCTGAACACATACACACACAAATTAGATTTTTAAGATAAAGTATACATGGGTTGGAGAAATGGGTCTGCGGTTAAGAGCACTAGCTGCTCCTCCTGACGTCTTGAGTTCAATCCCCAGCAACCACAGGGTGATTCACAACCAACTACAATGAGGTCTGATGCCCTCCTCTTTCATGTCAGCATATATGCAACTAGAATGTTTAAATAAATAAAATTTTTAAAAAAAAATAAAAGTATACCAGCAGAAATACATTTTTCAAATTTTATCCTCATATCTTCAAAAGAGAACTTCCCACAATGCATGTGGTTTTGGAGAAGATGAAGATGGAGCTGAGCTACTAAATAAAGTCTTCAGAGAGAGCGAGCCTTCAAAGCACAGTGTCATCAATAAAACTCTACTCTACTGGCGTCTCACAGGCTGCAGTGGGGGCCACTTGGCCACAAGCCTACCTCAAAGGACAGAATAAAATCAAAGTTCGTATTAATCATTCATTACTGACCCAGAGGAGTGTGGGCCTAGTGACTCCTTCCAAAGGCCACATCCTTACCTCCAGGGAACCATTGTGCAGTTCCACCTCCAGATCTAGGCATCCAACCTTGAAAACAGCACAGAACTGGCTCTCGCATGAGAAAGCAGAATGAGTTCCAACTCAACGACCCCACATTGGGGGCTCCTCCCTGTCGCCTGAGGCCCTCATACCCAGATTGATGTCTCATGCCTTTTGAAAAAGGAAGCTTACTGGGGACTTCTCCAAGGCAGTCTCTGGCCAGATGACTAAGTAAAACTGAAGGAGGAGACTTCTCCACTCACTGAGCAAACCCTCTACTCTTAGTCAAACCCTGTTCACATGTTAAGAGCCTTTTGCTTCTTGGAACCCTGTGAGTATTCTTTACCTGTGCCCCTCCCAGCCTTGAACTGACTGTATTCTGTAATACTGCTTCTGGGATCCTGGGCTTTCAATGTGACTTGAAGGCAAATGACATAACCATTTTTCTCTTGAAATTTGAACAGGGGAAAGGAAAAGTGCTTAGGCCTTGGGTGAGATGTCCTGCTCTGCAGGTGGGGACACTCTGTCCTTGGCTGAATGCCTTCATCTCATGTGCTCTGAAGAAATGAAGAAAATGCTAGATGGTACAGGGTCTCTCTCCTCTTCTTTTGACCCCTATAGAAGCTGGAGTCTCCCTGGAAGAGTGAGATAGAATCCAGTCCCACCTAACCCAGATCATCTCTATAAACAAGGCTCCCTGACCGCTGTCTGGGCAGTTCCAGCACCATACCCTCCACAGCTATGAACCTGCATCTTTCATGCTTACTGTTCTTCCTGGTGACCTCATTGCCTGCAGGTAGGAGGTAGACTATGAGTCTGAATATGAAAAGGTCTCCTAAAAACTCAGATCCTAAAATTTTAAATAGATGATAGATAGATAGATAGATAGATAGATAGATAGATAGATAGATAGATAGACAGACTGACCTTGACCTATGGGAATAAGCCCATCATGGGAAGTTCTATATGGGCTAACAGGTTAGAGCTAGGATGTGGGTAAGGGTTGCCGTTCTCTGTACTAATCATCTTTCACTATTTCCTGGAGACCTCCAGGATCTTTAGGAGAGTCCTTTCAATGGTGCATACTTCTCTACTCACCAAATTCGTATTGGTTTGTTTCAATTCAGGATCTCTATATATAACCCTGGCTGTCCTGGAACTAGCTATGTAGACCAGGCTGGCCTTGAACTCCTAGAACTGCCTTAGTATCTAGAGTGCTAGGATTAAAGGAGTGCACCAGCATACCCAGCCTAAATCCCTCTTCATAGACCTAGACCCACAGTCTTACTAAAGTATGATAGGCAGTAAGAGAATGGGTCCCAGAAGGACAGTGAACGGATACCAAACTCTCCATCAGCATGCAAGCCTAGATTTGTTCCTGGCTTCCTGATGACTGATTTGCCCTTTCTCTATCCTGCAGGTTACTGTATAATCGGGAATAATGGTGTATCCTTTCGAACGTGTACTGCAGTCAATGGCACGTGTTTCTTTGGTTGTAAATTAGGATGGATATGGATTGGCCAATGTAACAACATAATGTCCTGTTGTAAAAGAGATACCTTGTATACACTTCCTCAAACCAAAGGAATATGACCTAGCTTCACAGCTCCAATTAAAAGGCCATGTGAACGATTAAAAGCTCCCAATCTGTCTGTGAGGCCCAAGGGCTCAAGATATAGTATTGGTGACAGATAGGGATGATGCTGGCCAAGTTTCTGTTTACTGGCAAAAGCCTAGATGTATTTTTTAAGAAGCATTGCAATAAATGGCACTCCATAATCTTCCTTGTCTTAAATCATAAATTCCTGTTTCAAATTAACCTGTGTGGGACTGGAGAAATGGCTCAGCAGTTAAGAGCACTGGCTGCTCTTCTAGAAGACCTAGGTTTGATTCCCAGCACCCATATGATAGCTCACAACCATCTGTGAGTCCAGTTCCAGGGGATATAATGTTCTCTTTTGACTTCTGCAGGCATTTCACATATGTAATACACAGACATACATGCAGGCTAGACACCACATACATATGATTGAATTAAATTAAAAACAAAACAAAAACCAAATTCAACTGCTCCATACAAGTCACAGGCCCAAGGAAACGACATTCCCTGAGAAATGTCCTTGAGAATAAGAAAAAATAACTGCCATGAAGCTCTCAGCCTTTAAACTGCTTTGCATATATCAAGTTACTTAACCTTCAAAATAAAATCTGATTTCTTTAAATGATGGATTTTCCCCCCAAGATCACATGAGTAATTAGTTTGTCCTGGATTTGCGCCCAGTCCATCTTCATTTTTTCTTGTTATTATTAATTTCTTTACTTTTCATCAGGCTTTAAGCACACCAATTGGTTATCCAACACCGAACAGTCAGCCCTGAAAAACACATAGCCACAAGTAATATATGAACTGAGCATGTTGCATTGACATACCTGGGAACACACACACGCACGCATACTACCTAGCCTGCCTTGACTGTATCTGCTTTTGGCTGCACTGAACTCCCTTGGGGAGCACAGGAGTCTGGCTTGATGATAGTTCCAATGCGTAGTTATGAATCCAACCAGAGATATGAAATACTGAGCCATGAAAATGCTTTTTAAGGCTCAGAGACAGAAAGCTCTGCTAAGTTCCATTTCTGGCTCTGGACACATGTTAACCTCACTACTTTTGCCCAGGCATCGCGGACCCTCATGCTCAGGGCCATGATCTCCACACAGCCGCCGTCTGCCAGTGAGCTTCCTTGCCGTCCATTCCCACGTGCCCCTGTCCCAGGGGCAGAACCACAAGACTCCATCAAGGTCCTCGTAATTCACTGCGGATCAATGAGAACGGTTGGCAGCCTCATGTCAGGATTGGTCTTCCTCAAACTGTGGCGGCAGTAACACTCTATGGGCAGGGCAGGAGGGAACCACCTGCCCACAGGCCTTCGGCTTCTGGTCCTCACATTTCCAGCAAAAAAGGTCCTGATGGGTTCACACAGCTAGACTCTAATGACGTCATACTTTGCTTAGCCCTTTTGAGACCGTCCAGTAACATCTACAGTATGTGGAAGCCTGCACTGGCTTCTTAAAGAAAAGAAAAGTGGGTTGACAGCCGATTCAATCCATGAGGGCAGAGTGAGCAGACGCATCAAATAGGGTTGGGGGTGGTGGGGGATGATGGGAGTGGGGTGGAGGAGATTGGGGGTGTTCTGAAGCCCTGTGAGTACCTGCAGTGAATAAACCACACCGGGAGCACCTGGGCGGGGAGTTGGTGGGGGGTGGTAGGGAGGGGACGGAGAAGGGCAGGTCAACTTTACTTAGGGTGGTTCAAGACCTATAACGTTTGGGGGGACTGAATTTAACACTGAACTGTACAATTAAAAGGAATTGGGAAGAAGACTGGCAGTATAGTTCAGTGGGTAAAGGCATGTGCTACTAAACCTGACTATTTGGGCTTGATGTCATCAGAACCAACATGGTAGAAGGAAAGAGCCTCTGATGCATATATCAGCACATGTCTGCATGTGTAAACACACACACACACACACCATCTGGCTGAAAAGCAGTGAGAAGCTGAGCTAAGACAGAGAAACTTGTCCAGTCACTCTTCCAGTGACAGACAACAATTAGAGTTGTAGCACCCTTTTCAATCTTCATTGTTTGAGAACATGGACACATACCAACTTGGGTAAGACTAAAAAGAACATAGATCAAAATTCAGTGCAATCTGCCAGTGACCCCAACTGTGCTGGTCATGGAAAGCTCTGGAGTTCCCTCAGCGCAGAAAGTTTGGACAAGTGAAAACTAGGAGGGAAAAAAAAAAAACAAAAAAACAAAAAAAACAAAAAAAAACGAGAGCTGGTGAGATGGCTCAGTGGTTGAGAGCACTGAGTACTCTACCGAAGGTCATGAGTTCGGATCCCAGCAACCACATGGTGGCTCACAACCACTCATAATGAGATCTGATGCCCTCTTAGGGTGTCTGAAGGCAGCAACAGTGTACTTACATATAATAAATAAGCAAAAACCTTTGGGCCAGAGCAAGCGGGGCCGGAGCGAGCGGGACCAGAGCGAGCGAGGCTGGGGGAAAAAAAAAGAAACAAAAAAAAAACAAAAACAAAAACAAAAAACAAACAAAAACAAAACAAAACAAACGAAATAAAACCCAAAAAACTAGTTTTTGCTTCTACCACCAGGGGGCACAAGCGCAGGCTTCCAGCCTTCTTGCCACATCCCGCTGGAAGTTTGTAAGCTGAAAAAGTGTGAACTTGAATACTCAGAGCAATGGAGAGTGCCAGACAGGTGGCTTTTACACTGCAGTTGGTGGGGGGGATAGGGTGGGGCGCTTACTAATACTGCCTGTGAGGACAAACTCCATATCTGGCTGCATATGGTAATAAAGACCCTTAGCGATGGTAATGTCTTGATTGTAGTTTTTGGTTTTGGTTTTGTTTTCTGGGGGGGAGGGAGGGTGTTTGTTTGTTTGTTTGTTTGTTTGTTTTTACTTGTACATGAATGTAGACTTGGAAGCCATCTTACCTGAGAGCTAAATTCCTTGTCACTCTTTGTTGAGTGACTTTAGAAAATGTACTTACGGGGCTGGAGAGATGACTCAGCGGTTCCAGAGGTCCTGAGTTCAATTCCCAGCAACCACATGGTGGCTCACAAACATCTGTAATGGGATCTGCTAGTGTGTCTGAAGACAGTGATGGTATGTTCACATAAAATAAATAATTCTTTAAGTAAAAAAAGAAAATGTACTTACCAAACTCAAGCTGACCATCTGAACAGGGAAAATAATAACTACATGATAGACCAAAAGAAAGCTGGGGCCCGAGAGAGCTTGAGGAGTCCAAAATAGAACATTCCAGACTTGGTCCTAGATTCTATTGGACAAAGGTCAGGAGTGTCTTCTGGGATACATGGAAAGGCTTCTCATAGGATACTTCTCTGTATATTCCTTTTAATTAGAGTAGTGAACTTTCACAGGGGCTTGCCATACAATCTTAGTTTTAAATAATTTTATTTATTTACATTCCAGCCGTTGCTCCCCTCCCCAACACCCCCCCCACAGTTCCTCATCCCACTCCTCCTCCCCCTTGCCTCCAAGAGGGCGCTCCCCCAGAACAGGCTCCTCCTTTCCTGGGGCCCTCAAGTCTCTCGAGGATTAGACACATCTTCTCCCACCAAGGCCAGACCAGGCAGTCCTCTGCTGTATGTGGGCAGGGGGCCTTGGACCAGCCCGTGTATGCTGCCTGATTGGTGGCTTAGTTTCCGGAAGCTCCCTGGGGTCTGGGTTAATTGAGACTGCTGATCTTCCTATGGGGCTGCCCTCTCCTTCAGCTTCTTCAATCCTTCCTCTGATTCAACCACAGCTACTTCTCCCCATCCTCTCTTCTCCTCTTACTCTGCCACAGTACTTGCTTAAGCCTTTAACTCCCCGATATTCCAGCCCACCACCACCACCGTCTACTCCCCCCACTCCCATAGCCCCCCCCCCATCTCCCCTTAAAGCCTCCTTCCTTCTCCCTCTCATGGCCCTTTCTAGCCTTCTGGGTGCTACAGATGCTTCCAAATTAAACACACAAATCCTTTAAAGCCAGGACCCACATATGAGGGGCACCATGTAGCCTTTGTCTCTCTGGATCTGGTTACCTTACTCAGTGTACTGCACTCCAGTTTCATCCTTTTTTTTTCCTGCTAATTTCATTTTCCTTTGTGTGTGAATCACATTTTCGTTATTCATTCATCACCTGATGAGTATCTAAACAGAATCTATTTCTTAGTGATTCACACAATATTTCTAATCTTCAAGACACCCAGCTAGATCATCAGATACCCTTTATTCAGAGTTGGATCATATAACCACCGTCTGAAAGACAGTGGGAAAATAAAAATATCCTCATGCTTGACTGCACATATAAAAAACAAAAAACTGCCGGGCAGTGGTGGCACACGCCTTTAATCCCAGCACTTGGGAGGCAGAGGCAGGCGGATTTCTGAGTTTGAGGCCAGCCTGGTCTACAGAGTGAGTTCCTGGACAGCCAGGGCTACACAGAGAAACCCTGTCTTGAAAAACCAAAAAAAAAAGAAAGAAAGAAAGAAAGAAAGAAAGGAAGAAAGAAAGAAAGAAACCTCTTCACAACAGTAAACAACAACAAAAGACAACACATAGAAGATGGTGGAACAGGCAAACATCGTGAAGATGGCTTTAGACTTTGAAGAAGGAATCGGTAAAAGATGTTCACAGATGGAAAGATAAAGAGCCCCTTTCTGTCAACTTTAAAAATGCATCTAAATCCCACAAAATCTTTGAATCACACAGACTAAACCTCAAGCTCCTTAATAACGTTTTAAAATAAGATTGTCATTAGAAATTCTGAAGATGCAGGGCGGTGGTGGCACACACCTTTAATCCCAGAACTTGGGAGGCAGAGGCAGGCAGATTTCTGAGTTTGAGGCCAACCTGGTCTACAGAGTGAGTTCCAGGACAGCCAGGACTACACAGAGAAACCCTGTCTCGAAAAACAAAAACAAAAACAAACAAACAAACAAACAAACAAAGAAATTCTGAAGATGAGGAGTCTGCCTAAGTCTCCTCCTGGACATTC